TGGTTATACAGTAACTGGGTTTGTAATAACTATCCCATAATCCTTTGCAGGCAGATGGGCGGGGCTTTCTAATACCACTGGTTATACAGTAACTGGGTTTGTAATAACTATCCCATAATCCTTTGCAGGCAGATGGGCGGGGCTTTCTAATACCACTGGTTATACAGTAACTGGGTTTGTAATAACTATCCCATAATCCTTTGCAGGCAGATGGGCGGGGCTTTCTAATACCACTGGTTATACAGTAACTGGGTTTGTAATAACTATCCCATAATCCTTTGCAGGCAGATGGGCGGGGCTTTCTAATACCACTGGTTATACAGTAACTGGGTTTGTAATAACTATCCCATAATCCTTTGCAGGCAGATGGGCGGGGCTTTCTAATACCACTGGTTATACAGTAACTGGGTTTGTAATAACTATCCCATAATCCTTTGCAGGCAGCTTTCTAAAGCTGGCCATACACCTATAGATTATCTGCAGATGTTCTATGGTCAGATTGAGAACAACAGATTCCTCCATCTACACTAAACTGTGTGGATGGAGGAATCTCCCTAGTCGGCCCCGCTGGCTCTCAAAACACCTGAACGATCCCGGCATCCAAACAGATTGTTCAGGTATTTTGAGAGCGAGCGGGGCCGACTACCCTGTTTCCCCGAAAATAAGACCTACCCCGAAAGTTAGACCTAGCACTATTTTTCAAGATTCCTGTAATATAAGACCTACCCCGAAAATAAGACCTAGTTTGGTGGTAGCATGTGAACTGGGGAACTTGCAGGAGAGATGGTATCAGCCTGCAGGAACATACTGTATTAAGGGGATGACGGGACTCCCTCTGGCCAGCGCAGTGACAGGGAGCACTCCAGTACCATACTTCACCAATTGCTGTCCCCCTGAAGGCACTGCTTAATGTAATGGTACTGTACTGTAATGTGTACCGGTAAATGGTACCGTACTTTACCATGCTGTCCACTGTCTGATGTCCCCACTGCTGCACAGCTGGTACCGCTGTCCCTGGTGGCAAAGGAAGCCAGCGCTGTAGAAAGCAAGGCTGCGGCGGCGGAGAGAGCAGAGCCGCATTAGCCGATATTCCGCTAGAGCGCCAGTTACTGTGACAGGCAGAGTAATACCAGATAACTTTAGATTGTTGCACATTAAAAAAAAAAAATAAGACATCCCCTGAAAATAAGACCTAGTGTGGTTTTTGGGGGCTAAAAAAATATAAGACAGTGTCTTATTTTCGGGGAAACACGGTAGCAAGATACTGAAGCTTGGCCCAGTGGGAGATTACTCCATTCACGCAGTTTAGCGTAGACGGAGGAATCTGTTACACTTTCCCCATCTGACCATAGAAGATCTGCAGATAATCTATAGGTGTGTGGCCAGCTTTAGCAGGACTGCAGCCTCTTGCCAGTCATTCTATGCACACTCTGCCTGGGTTCTAGCAAGCGATCAGAGACATGTATCAAGCAAATTAGAGACACAATTAGGCCTCCTTCACATTGGTGGCAGCTTTTTACCCCCCTCTGAAAAAATGAATGTGGTGGATTGCTTTTCAGTCGGTTTAGAGCAGATTTTTTTTCGGTCCCAAGTCTTTAAACACTTTTTGTGGTAGAAACGTTGGCCACTCCTTCTCACTAAGCTCTGCTACCCCCAACTTTCGGTCAGAGAGTGAGCTCAGTAGACATTACAGATAGATCACATGGCTGTGGGCTCCAGGACTACATGTCCCATCATGGCGAGAGACGCCAACAGAAAGTGCATGCTTGTCTGTCCTCATAGAGCTGCCACTCAGTTCCATTGAGGAGCAGGGGGTGGCTTGCATTGCGGTGAGTGTTGGCGCACAGGGTGTCCCAACACCGACTGTAGTCCCGGGCAGGAGTGTATGCGATAGGGTGGGTACGGCAGGGCTATATAGAACCCGGCAAGGCATAGCCACCTAAAAACAGAGAGACATTTTTATATACTGTAGTATAAAACTGGTTTATGTGTGCTGCTTGCGTAGGAACCAACAAACTAAGCAGCACATTGGCTTAGTGGATAACATGTCTGCCTTGCAGCACTGGGGGGGTCCCTGGGTTTGAATCCCAGTCAGGTCACTATCTGCAAGGAGTTTGCATGTTCTCTGTGTGCTTGTGTGGGTTTCCTCCGGGTACTCCGATTTCCTCCCACACTCCAAAGATATGCTGGAAGGTTAATTGGTTCCTGTCTAAATAGGCCTTGTATGATATAAGGTCCCTATTGCTCACATATAAGCTCCTTCAGGGCAGGGACTGCTGTGAATGTGCTGTGTGTATATTGTCAGCACTATATAAATATCTGTAATAAATAAACTGAATGGTTCCTTATATGCGATGCTGGTTTGGGAGGGGGAACATTCTTTAACAAATGCTCATGAGCATGCATAATGGAAATGATCCCGGGGCATGCACAATTAAAAAGGCAAGGCTTACTAAGATTCATAACACACCTAGATGTGGGGCCAAGCCGGGGTCTGACTTTCCCCCCCCAAAAAAAAAAAAGACTTTCCAGTACCATTTGGGTTAAAATTAGGGGCACCAAGCATGCTGGCTGTGGCCCGTGTCTATTCAAATAGTGAATGTTTACTTTTAGGCCTCATTCACACAGCTAAGTGCCGGCCCGTACAGCGTGCACAGCCGTATCGGGCCGGGAAGGACAGGTGCTGCGTGTGATTGGACGCAGCAGCCTGTTCTTTTCTATGGGAGTACGCGGCCGTACGCTCACGCGAGCTGCACATCCATGCAGGTGCCAGTGTCCGAGCACAGACACCCGCACGGATTTGCAGTGAGCGTACGGCCGCGTCCTCCCATAGGGAAGAAAAGGCTGCTGCATACAATCACACGCAGCACCTGTCCTTCCCGGGAACGGCCCGATACGGACATGCACGCCGCACGGGTCTGTACGGGCCGGCACTTAGCTGTGTGAATGAGGCCTTAGGGCCACACTACATGCAGTGCGTTCCGGCCCGATTTTGCTACAAGCACTATTTTGATCGGACTGCAGGCACAATGTGCCTTGCGATCCCGTGCAGCGGATGGGCGTGGCAACGGCACCATTCACTTGAATGGCCCGCCCCACTAAAAAGTGAGCCGGCCGCAATGCGAGGCAGTGCGTTCTGGCCAAAATCGGGACCGGAACGCACTGCATGTAGTGTGACTGAGCCCTTAGCTGAACTGTGTATTAGAGAGAAGCTAAGTTTGATAGTTAGCTAAACCCAGCCCCTCCCCCAATAACACCACAAAAAAATAGAACAAATGTATGGATCGCGATCCACCTGAAACATTGTATTGTTTGTTATAAACAGATCAATCATTTCCATCGAGTAGTATTTTTGGACACCAATTGTTTTGATATCATAACAGGTTAGATCTGCAGAAAAGTCCTAAGCAGTGTGATACAAATATTTCCATGATAACTCATACGATGTAGAAAGGCATTTGGTACATTTTCACTTTAGTAATAAATACCGTATATACTCGAGTATAAGCCGAGATTTTCAGCCCATTTTTTTGGCTGAAAAGTGCCCCCCTCGGCTTATACTCGAGTCAGCGCCAGCGCGTCTTCTTACTTACCTCGCCGAGCGTCGCGTCACTGCTGCTCCGGTGTGCGGCGCTCCGAGCGGGGACATATTGTCCTAACGTAAAGCTGAACTCCAGACACAAATGAATGCTGCTCCATATTTATCATGAAATGTCTTTTTTTAAATGAGTCCTGAAGCAGTCCATGTACAGCAGAGCTGAGACTGGAACATTGAGGAGCAGAACTGGGAGCCAATTTTCGACATGCATAGGTGGTGACAAGAAACATGCCGATAGAAGGAGAGAGAAGAGACACGACCTCATCAGTCTGCAGCTGCTCTTTCACTGTCCAGTCAGGAGGCCTGGGGTAGAGAGAGGACATTACTGTATCCTTTCACTGTAAGTGGTGTCACCCACAAGGCTGTGTAAATCTCAGGACTGGATGGACAGAACTACAAATCCTTTGTATGCATTTCATCTAGGCATTTAGCCATTTGCCTGGAGTCCAGCTTTAATGAACTCCTGTTAGGTAAGAAATTAACCCTTGCAGTACGGGTTTGCCAGCACTACAAGGGTTAACTGCTTATTCTCTGGAATACAGAAAATATACTCACCTGATCCTCGGTCCTGCAGCAGTGACCGCTCACCTCTCTCCCCCCTCCCACTCTGGCTGTGGTATGTCCCTTGGCATCCTCACGTCTAATGCAGGTGAATGGACTGCGTTAGACGTGATGATGTCGGCAGGGCTTAGACCGCTGGAGCCCGGTAAAGAGGCTGCGGGGAAAGGTCTTGCAGCCCGGGGGGGCCGAGGATCAGGCGAGTATATTTTTTTATTTGAGCCCCAAGACCAAAATGAACAGTTAACCCCTGCAGTGCGGGGGTAGGTCCACTGCAAGGGTTAACTTTTTCCATTTCCTGGAGTTTCTCTTTAAGCATCTGTTATTACAAAGATCTGTCATTCGTGAGTTTCAGTCACATGATTGGAGAGGAGGCGGTACCACTGCACCCTTCTCCAGTCACCTCCTGTGTGAACCCGTTTTGAAGGACATCATAAGCAGTGTTGCAATATGTAGAGCATTAAACTCCTCAATTATCAAAGCATGGAACGAAAGGATGATCTTCAGACCTTCAGCAGCCAGTCAGAGTCAGCTTCCCCCTAACTGCTGAGACATGACAGATACATTGTGCCTGGTTTGCCATTCTTCCATGTAGATGTGATCTAGTGGTCTACAGGTACCTACTGTTGATGGAACACTAGAATGCAGTTCATTGTCCCATTGTTTTGTCTGGTCATTTGGTACAGTCCCCTTTTCCTGTCTCTGACTGAGGCACCGTTGGTACGGTTCAACACAGATGCAATGGAAGAAATGTGGTCCATGGTTTTCTTGGTTGTCCTCCCTGAGAATTTGCCTCATTACGTGAACAGATTGTACTCAAAAGGTCCGTGTGTCTAGCCTACGGCTACTTGTCTTCATCTTTTTCTGTCTTTTCTTTATTCCAGTCTTGAAGACCCGCTGGTAATGAGGTGTCTTCCTCAAAACTGCCCGTCCCTTCTACAAAATCTTCATAGGAGGACTTCTCGGGGAAAGGCCTGGGGCCCAGCAACTCAACCATATCGGATTTCTCCAAGACTTCCTTCTCCAGCAACAGCTTCCCAACCTGTTTGGGACAAAGACCAGCGTTACTTGGGCTGCAGATGAATAAAGCTGAAGTCTAGGCAGATAGAGAAGACACTCATTATTCTAGGATTGTATTCATAATAAATCATTAAAAAGTAGAGGTGCACCGAAATTACATTTTGAGGCAGAAACCAAAAAAAAACCCAAAAAACAAACATATATATATATATTTTCGAAAACATTTAGTTTGTTTAATATATTTTATGATTTTTTTATTTATTTTTATTAAATATTTTAAATTTTTAACTTTTACAAGGGATGCACAGATACCGTTTTTTTTCGGTACGCGCCGATACCGAATACCGATACCGGGAGTCCAAAGTGTGTAATGACTCGCTGCCCGGCTTCCTGATGTCGGAAGTTTGGGTATCGGACTAGGCATCGGAGCGTTACAAGTACTCGCCCAAATACTCGGCATTGGTGCATCCCTACCGTTTACTATAGAAAAAGAGATTGAGGACAAAGGCCCCAGGACTGAATGAACAGGAATCCTCTATACTGTACTGAGTGTACCTGTTTAGTCATACATTGAGAAGATAGTATGATTACCATGTCCACAATCATGAATTACAGGAAGTGATGTAGATCACTTCCCATTCATTCATAACTGGTACATAGTAACTCACACTATATCCAGTTATTTACAAACATTGAGCGATCACTGGTCGCTGAGTGTTTGTATACGGCTCTCCATCCTGAATCGGCTGTCACAGGAAGATGAGTGGGCGGTGCGAGGAGGAGAGCTCAATCTCATTGGACAACCGACTCCTCCCCCTCACCGCCAGCGCGGTCTCCGGTGACAATGCACGGTTGTCTCCACCCACACACCGCTCTCCTGATCTGTTACAGGAGGAGAGCTTGGCCTCCTGTGACACGCTCTCCTCCCTGCTGAATGCTGCGCTGTGTCAGAGGGGACACAGAGCAGCGCCCAGCGGGGAGGAGAGAAACTAGGCTTGCACCACAATTTCGGCCGAAAGATAGCACTTCCGGCCGATTTGTTTTGACGGCTGAAATTTGGGTGCATCTCATTGGTTCTCAGACTGGAAAAGCACTAGGAGCAATGCAAATGTATTGACAAGGAACATGCTGATGGTGCACAGAGAGATGACCAGAATATTCTCCTGCTGCTCCTTTACGGTCTATTCAGTAGGCTGGAGGTGGTGGGAAACACCATTGTATCCCATTTACAGTTTATAACTGTGAACCTGGTGTCATCACCTTTGCTGTGCGATGGGGCTGTGTCAAATTCAAACAGGATGGGAAATAATACAAATCCTTTGCCAGGCAAGACAGTCCAACTATACATACACTGAGTGGCCAGATTATTATAACCATCCTATCAGTACTTCGTTGGGCCACGAGATGACTTCGTTGGGCCGCCTCGTGACTCCACGAGATGGTGAAAGGTGATGCGAGGAATCTGACACTGTACTGTGGCCCTTCTGTTGTCTTGTACCAGTCTTGCCACTCTCCGTTCTGCCCTAACATTGACTAGTCACTGACGGCCACAATTCGCGCGTTCAGACCCAGATTTTCGGCTGACAGTCCGGTCTTTAAACACTTTAACAACAGCTGCTCTTAAACATTTACCGAATTCTGCTGTTTTGCTGATACTCGCTCCATGGATCCGAGCGCCAACAATCATCCCACGTTCAAAGGCTGTTAAATCGCGTTGTTTCCCCGTATCTTCAGAAAAGAAATCACTTCTACTGTCGTGGTAAACAACTGAAGCTCGCTGTGCCCGTGTGAGCCTGCCAGCGGGTTTTTAACGAGTGTAGTGGGAGCAGACTCCTCCCACAAATACAGGCTAACTAATTAGCCTTCAAACTTATCGAACAGTTATGATAAAACACTTTCAATGGTATATTTAACTGGCCCAAAGAATTTACCGTATTTTGCGGTCCATAGGACGCAGGGAGGTCCGGCGCGCCTTATGGAGCACTCGACAGACCGTAGCTTCTGTCACAGCTTCTATTTAGAAGCCGCAGTTAGCCGCAGCAAGGCGCTGTGATTACAGCGCCACGGTCTCAGTAATCACACAGAACAGACTAAGAACCTCCGTTCTTAGTCTGCTCTATGGTGATCTCGATCGTCGCCGCTGCTCGGTTTTAATACGAGTGATCTCATTAGATCACTCGTATTAAACGAGCAGTGGCTCCTACTACTCGCCCGGCGCCCGAAACTGCATGTCTTGGGCGTCGGGATTCGCGCCATAAGACGCAGGCACATTTTCCCCCTCCTTTTGGGGGGAAAAAAGTGCATCTTATGGAGCGAAAAATACGGTACATTACACTGTAAAACACCACTTCCCTTCTAGTGTTTGCTAGCGCTGGGAAAAGGGAGGAGTATATCCTAGCACAGAAAGATATTCATTCTTTAGAAAGAATCCAAGCAGGACAGTTATTCATACAGTACGCCATGAACCAGGAGTGGCCTGTTCTATGGCCTAGAATGTTATATAATTATCTTATTCATTAAATTGTGGTACATGTGCCACAATTTGGGAAACGTCAAAATAGATCAGTCCTTCACCACCGTCTCTGTCTCTACCTGTGAATATGCTGTATGTGTGACCTTCCTCAGGTCATCTTGTGCTCCAGTTGTGATGCGCCCAAAGAAGATCTGTTCTGCCACACGGCCTCCCAGCATCATGCACATTCGGTCGAATAACTGCTCTTTGCTGTACAGGTACTGCTCCTTGGGGAGGTACTGCGCATAGCCTAGGCCTTTTCCACGAGGAATGATGGACACCTAGACAAAAATCAAACCAGAGAGAAGACTGCACGTGAGTGTCATATACCTACAAAGAACGACGAAGATTGTGCAAAACTGTCACTTAGAAAAAATAAGCATGTCTGTGTCCCATCGCACTCCAGACCGGAATCCACATATGCAGTCAAATGGGTGCTGGGACGATATGCGGATGGTGCCACACAAACCCAAACATCAGCAAGGTAGTCACCCGTACATCAGGTCCAGTGTATCAAAGCATCTTTATTTATTTATATGGCATCACAAATAACATCAATGTTTCGGAACCTATAGCGGTCCCTTCATTAGGCAAAACAGGCAAACATAGTGACCACCATAAGGACAACCATAGTGACAACCATGACTAACATGCTGATTTTTAGGCACCAACAAGTAAGCTCTAACAAAGGCTTTGTGAATTCCCTCTTATCTCTTAAAGGATATAGAGGGAAGACCATGCAAAAATAAAAGTTAACTACAACACAATGGCCATCCACAGGTTCTGGTCAGGTGCCCTAATGACTATTGAACCCTTTTAATTTACTATCCTTTATTATAAATGACCAATATATTACGTGGCACAGTAGCATCACCAGGCCGGGTGTCACCCAGTGCACACATCATTATGTCACACATGCCGTCATTACGCACGTAATGACATCACGTGCACTTCACTGCCGGTGGACATCTTGGTGATGGATGCCGTCAAAGAGAGGAGGGGACGGTCTCCCGTCCTCTTTCGTGCAGCTGTCAGACTCTCAGTCCATGACTGAGTACCGGACTATGCTCCATAGAGCATAAGTAATAGATTGGTATTGACATCATGTCTTTGAGTCCCAACAGTATAGAACACAGGACACAATGCTTGTCCATGACTACATTTGGATACTGTATGTATGGAGACTATATAATGATTTATTTAGAGGGGCTCAGTGCCTTCTATGCTTTCCTGTCTTTGTGCTCAAATCTGTTGTTGTACCTTTGACACCTGTTATGAACAAATAAAAGCATTAAAAAGACACACATTGGTCTTGGAGGACAAGCAGCGAAGACAATTAGCACAGTTCTGTCTTGCTTCACTTGTTTTTGGGGCCTAAGTCCCAAAGGAGCAACAGGGGGTTTGTGCCAACAGTGCCAAACGCAGAGAGAGAGATCAAGACAAAGAAGTGAGGAAGATCATTTTTTGATATGATTTTAATGGGATCATTAAACATTTTGTTAGTCTGGTTCTACCCGACTATGCAGGGTAAAAACCAGAACAAAGAGTTGCAGTTGACAGATGAGAGAATTCATCTGCACCTTACCTTTAGTAAAGGATCAGCATGTTCCAAGAACCACCCAACCACAGCATGGCCGGCTTCATGATAAGCAACGGTGCGCTTCTCTTCAGGCTGAAGGACTTGAGTCTTCTTTTCCAATCCTGAGAACAGAGGGCCAATGTAAGTGAATTTACTAGCCAAATACTGTGATTTTTACTGTTAATTGAAAAGAAGCTTTTTCGTTTGAAGAAACTGAACAATAGATAGTTAATGAAGGAAAGTGTGTGTGAAAAGGTAAAAACGTGCAATATTGCCGGCTTACTCCACGTGACAGGTTAACAAGGCAGACAATACACTGCTCCTCTGAATAAAGAGTAGCCAGCAGAGCTGATCCGGACATCTTAGGGTACCCATACACTGTGCGCATTTAGTTGGTTATTGAGGAACCGGCCGAAATTCTCACAGAATGTATGCCCCTGTTGGCACCCTTACGGCCAGCATCACTCGATCAGCTGATCAAAGGAGCCGGCTGGAAGATCTTTGCACGACTAGAGCCAGCAGCCAATGAGCTGCCAGCCCTGGTTGGGTATTCTGATGGCAGCCTTCGGCCGATGTCAAAATACAATGCAAACACCGAGATTCCTCAATCGAGACACTCGTAGTGTTGATGGAAGAATCGGCTCTATTTTTTTTCATTAAGCCCACGGGTTGAACGAAAAAAAAAAATAGCAGTGTATGGCCAGGTTACACAGCTGTCCCTGGGGCCTCTTGTTGAAACTGTTCCAGGAACATCCTTCTGGGAAGAGGCCCCACAAGAGACTAACACATAGGAAGCATCATATCTTCCAGTTACAATGAGAACACTTTCAAATTCCAGCAGCAAGATCATGGGCAGGTATATAGACACAGAGAAGCTCAGGTTGGCTTGGTAATCCTGCCAAGTTACTATCTGAATGGGTAACGCTTACAGTCTTGATCTATGAAACATGCCTTCCATGATTGTGATCCTTTCACAAAACACATCTTCATATAAGTAAGGCATAGGGACAAACATGGGACAGCTTTAATAAGAAATATACTAATGTTTCACCATCATTCCATACCTCCAATTACACGTTCAATAGCTTGATTAAAGTTCTTCTCCCCCACAAACTCACTCAAGTGCCTGGCTGCGATAAGGGCTGCCTCATTACATACATTGGCAATATCAGCACCTGAAATAATAAAAAATGTCATGTGTCATGCTACCATGCAAATCGATCACATCGGTGAACACTGGTTTGCCATAAGGCAGTCATAATCTCACCAGTAAAACCAGGAGTTAGGGCTGCCATCTTCCGGGCCAAGGCATCCTTGTTGAAGTTCTCAGGCAGCTTCAATGGACGAAGATGAACCTTAAAAATAGAGGCCCTGCCTTTAATATCAGGGGGGCCTAAAGGGGAGAGAGAAGAAAAAAAAAAAAAGTTACCAAAATATTCACTCTCAATAAAATGGGTGAATCTATTTTTTGGGAGTAAGGGAGCCAGGTATACCTTCATCGTCATTTCCTACGGATTACACCCAAACTCCAGGCAAAAATAAGAATACAAAAAAATTAAAATGATCAAATAAAAAATACTCAGCCAATCTAGAGGCGAGAATTGCACCCCGTGCAACAAATTGCGGGTAGAAAGCACACAGAACGCAAGTATTTGGAATGCTTATTTGCAGCAGTTTTCCTTTCCATAAATTATTTGTAATTCATTTGCAATGTATCTTGGAACTTGCTAGAATTGATAAGAGTAATACTCACAAAAGTGAATAGGAATAGTGAATAAGAATAGAGCCTTATATGACAGAACGTGGAGCTCCAACATCAAACATAAAAGCAAATGACCGCTGGACAGACGTTCCTGTGTGCCAGCAAAGGATAACTGTGATGACGCGTTTCCGGGGTTACGCCCCCTTCATCAGAATCTGGTGAAGGGGGCGTGACTCCGGAAACGCGTCATCACAGGAACGTCTGTGCAGCGGTCATTTGCTTTTATCCTGGTTTGATGTTGGAGCTCCATGCTCTGTCATATAAGGCTCTATTCCTATTCACTTTTGTGAGTATTACTCTTATCAATTGTTTTAAACTTTAATAAATGTTTCTGCACTAGGAAAGGCGCCCCCTGTTTGTGTTTTCTTTCTAGATCTTGCAGTCTCCCTGGCTGGAGTGGGGCAGCGACCTGCAGAACTCTTATCATTAACCCTCCAGTTGAGCGGTCCGCTCTGGTGCTTTTTGTTTTCATTTGCATTGCTGGAAAATATGGCTACTCCAGGAACATCGTTCAACTGAAAGTTCACTTAGGCTTTAAAGTTCAACCCCCAATCCCAACCTCTTGAGGGTTTCCTGCAGGCAGTCATATAGTCATTTTACCTATATAAATCTGACGATCAAATCTTCCCGGTCTCATCAGAGCTGGATCCAGGGTGTCGGGTCGGTTTGTACCAGCCAAAACAACTACATTGGTGTCAGAACCGAAACCTGAAAAAAAAAAAAATCAGAACAAAACAGAAATAAAAAAAACAATCTCAACAACCCCACACACGTGCATGCATTGCAGAGTTTTTCATATGCGAGTCAGTTGGGGGTAAAAGGCCATGTTGGTACTTGAAACATAATGAGGGGAATTTATCAAAACTGGAGAGCTGTGCATGGCAACCAATCAGCTTCTCTCTTTCATTTTTAAATCTTAACTGAACAAACTGAAGAGAGAAGCTGATTGGTTGCCATGGGCAACTGCTCCAGATTCTGTCTGCTCCAGTTTTGATAAATCCCCCTCAATGTTTCTTGACCTTGTGCTACAGATCAATAAAACAACCATGAGTACTGTGTGGCCATGTCCCAGGATTGCCTTTCCATGTGGCAGCAAATTAAAACAAGGAAAAGTTCTCTCTCACATAAGCCTTGTTCAAAAAGAGTTAACATAGAATCTTGCATGGAGATTCTTTTTTATAAAGATTTCCGACTCTTGTATACGATTATTTTCTTGCAGTTACCTAAATGAGGGTTTAGTCTGTTCCATCAATTAAAAGGATCCCTGCAGAGCAGTAAAGGTTACTAAAAAATGTTGCTGTCAGTTCCACGTATGACCCACGCCTGCCCCCTGCTGGCAGCACAGAATTATGTTGTGTTTGCATATCCTGACAGCTATAAAGCAGCTCTTCTACAAATGTCTGTCATTGCTGGCACTCCTTCCTGCTCCAGGTTATATCTCTGGGCCTTAAGAAGGAAAAGGGCACTGAACCATTGGTCAAGATTCTACCTGGGACCCCAGCGAGAACATACATTTGCCATTTTGCCTTATGGGAGAGGAAGTAGACTCAGCTGCTGTCTGCTTGCTCATAGAATAAACTAGAATCAACATACATAGTTTAAACTCACAGACTGGACATTTCCACAGCTATAGGCTCTAGGTATTCATTTCATCATGGCCAGAATGGATACTGATACTAGAGCTAGGCAATGTATTCTTGAGATGTACATGGCAGTACAGAGAACTCTTAGCCCTCATTCACATTATAATCGGCCCGCACGTACAGCTACGTGCTGCGCACAGGACTGTATCGAAAAGCTCCCAGGAAGGACAGGTGCTGCGTGTGATTAGTACGCAGCCCACGTCCTTCTCTATGGGACTACGCGGCCGTACGCACCCCTACGTCCCACCCGACCTGCACGTACGTGCGGGTGAGCGTACAAGTACAGGATGGATCCTGTCTGCGTCCGAGCTAGGAAACATACACACCTACGGACCTGCACTTAAGGTGACCGTAGGGGGGTGGGGCGTACGGCCGCGTAGCCCCATAGAGAAGGACAGGGGCTGCGTACTAAATCACACGCAGCACCTGTCCTTCCCTGGAGCTTCTTGATACGGCCCTGCACACAGCACGGAGCTGTACGTGCGGGCCGATAACAGTGTGAATGAGGCCTTAGAAGTATATTTCTGGGCAAAAGTACATTTCTACAACACATGCACATTTTCCCATGTTTCATCTCTTTACAAAAAGTACAGGAAATACCTGTACATCCTTTCAGAAATCAAATGAGCTACTAACTTCCTGTAAAGAACCGACAATGCGTCCTCTGCTGCACTGAAATCCCAAGCAGCTTTGTCAGCCCTGCTGGATTACAAAACATCCCCTTTATATTGGGGAGGAAAAGGTGTTCTGTAGTCCACCAGGGGAGAACTGGGCAGGCCTAACAACACTGCCTAGGATTTCAGTGTAGAAGAAGCCCCTGTTTTGTCAGGTCACTACAAGAAATAAGGAGCTCCCTGGGTTTTTTGGAAGGATGAACAGATAATTTTTGTACTTGCAGAAAAAAGGATAAAATGTGCACGGATTGTGGAAACATACTAAATAAGTGGGTTTTTTTTGGCCCAGGCATAAGGAAAATAAATCAATTACTATACATTAGGAATGCACCGATACTGAGCATTTGTGCGTGTACTTGTACTCGCCCAAATTCTCCGATACTTACTAGGATACCGGAATTTCCGGCCAGAGTGAGATTCCCTCTGACTGGCAGTGTCGCGAGGGAGCATGGAGCCGGCTTCCTGGCTAATCAGAAAGCCTTCTGGCATGTCATGACCCACCTCCTGGCTTCCCGATTGGCTAGGACGCCTGCTTCACGCTGCCGAGCTGCCCGGCTTCCTGAAGGTTGGGAAGCCAGGCTACCTCACATTGTCGCATTAGAGCGCGAAGCCCGTGTGCTTTCAATAGTACACCGGCTTCCTAATTACACAAGCCCATGGTAACTTGGGATGCTTGTATCAGCGAGTACTAATAAAATAATAATCGGTACTTGTACTCGATTCCCGAAAAAAACGTTATTGGTGCAACCCTACTATACTTCTATAACTCTATTGAGGAAATCCTGCTGGAGATGAGGCTTTAACTGCTGAGTTCCTATGCAGGGTTTCAATGAAGAAATTCCCTTTAGTAGAATGCACCCAAGCCAGTCAGCCTACTGTACTACCAGGGGATCCCACCACAAAGCATCCACACAAACCCGCAGGTATGTATAGAGGCTCAGGGAAGGAGGATACACTTGACTGCAACCATGAGGTTTCAAGCTTGCTGTGTTTCCTGTCTGGTGGGAGGAACCATCTCTCCAAGGTCATGCTGTGCTGAAAACAAAGACTAGAGAAGTGGTAATAGTATTAGATGTGTTCGTTACACAATGAAAGTTTCCTAGGAAAAGCTGTCAAATGCTAAAGAAAACAAATGGCAATGCCGCCCATATGACTGTGGATTTCACTTACCATCCATCTCCACCAGCAACTGGTTGAGGGTATTTTCCTGCTCGCTGTGCCCTCCGAAATTCCCTTGCCCCCTCTTTTTTCCAACAGCATCAATCTCATCGATAAAAAGGATGCAAGGTGCGTTCTTCTTTGCCATGGCAAACATATCTCGTACCTACAAGGTTACAAGCACAGTGAGACTTTTTTTCCCCTTTTTAATAACTGTGAAGAAAAACTGTTCTTGTTATTGACAATAAGTATGAGGGTCGCTTTTGTGTCTTCCAAGTATTACAACAACGAATGGGAGATTGGTTGTTGTGAAGAATAATCCTTCCTTTGAGTCAGTGGCCCCCAGCCATTGGCTGGTGAGCTGAATATGAGCCTTTGGTTGTGGTCCCCAGCAGCCTCTCAGTTGGTGCCCATTACTGCACTACATGACTCGTCTCAACCAAGTCAAACAGTGTGACGTAATTATACCGTTGCACTTTAAATGTTCAGCTTTTTTCAACAAAATGCATCACACACACACACCTTAGCTTGTTATAGTAGCATAAAGCTCTTAGAAACCAACACACACACACCTTAGCTTGTTATAGCAGCATAAAGCTTAGCAACCGACAACCTTCAATTTACACAACACTTTCCCACTCGCTGACCCCGTTTCAAGGCTAGCGATAATGAATTCTGACATTTTTCTTACACTCATTTACTCTTCAGGAGGCCTGCAATGAAAGCTTCTCCCACGACAGTGCTAGAGAATAAGTCAATAAAAAATGCTGCAGAATAATGGGCCAGCAGGCAACTATTGATACTGCTGAACCTTAAGTTGCCCATACACTGCTTGATTCTCGTACGAGAATCGCGGGAAATCCCGCGATCGTACGAGAATCGAGCAGTGTGAACGAAGACGTGCGACCGTTTCTACTGTACAGTCGCACGTCTTTTGTCTAAGGAGCACGCTAGAAAGCCAGCCGAAAATCGTACGATTTTCGGCTGGTTTGAACGGTGCTCGGGAGACAAATGCCGAACAGGCCGCTGTGCGCACGCGCACACTGCCCGTTCAGCATTGCGGTCATCGCAAGCCCGCCCCTCAGGGGGGCGGGCTTGCGATGATCGAGAGTGCGATCTGCCTGTCCAAGATGGGCAGATTAAAAAAACGTACAATCACTTTACAACCATCGCAAGACTAAGGTCTTGCGATGGTTGTACAGTGTATGGCCACCTTTACCCAACACCTTCCTTCCTCCTGCAGATTACTATTGGCCAGTGTGACTGCCCATTGTGGTGATGGGTCAATGGAAACATGTGGGGTAAGGTTGAGCAGCATGTTTAGCACTACTACTACAGATTTGCCTATATGAACCATCTAGGGTTTGGCAGTAAAAGGATGGTTTGGTAGGTCTGCATGTATAAGGGGAAGGGTTGCAGCCTTTTTTTTTTTATTCTCCGTGTTCTTGTTGGGAGATTTCATCTCACATTGCATCTGAAGTAGGTAGAAATACCTGTTTTAAAAGCCGTCACTAAAACAAGTGTCACAGCATTTATTCTCAACTCCTGTTACTGTGACAATTGTCAATGGTGGAACAGAGTCTAACATTTCCTTACACTATCCAAACTGTCATGACAAATAGGCTGGCGTTCCATTTGAGCCATAATGGGTGCTCTGAATCAAGGTTACCATTCTCCTACTGTATTTAAGTGAACTGTGCGCAGTCAGATGATTTGTGTTAACAATCATGAGTGACACTGGTACAAAAAAAAAGAGATATGTAAAAGAGAATTTCATCAGAAGCTACAGGTGGTGGGATAGGCCAGATGCTTAAGACATAGACCCAGTAGGAGTGTGAATCACAATGAGGTGTATCATTATGCTGCTTTCTCTAAAAGATGCTATTTCCATAATACGCCATCATTGGTGTTCTTTAGGTGAAGCATACTTCCGGAATTTTAGTACGCCTGATACAGGCCTTTCATAGGAATCCCTTACTTTGGGATCAGCTAGTTCGAGCAGATATCCACTTCCCTAGAGCACAGGAAACAACAGTTTTGGAGACCTGTAAATTGGGATCGTATTCCTCTCGATCCTAATCAGAAGGTTTCAATGTCATAAAAGGTTTTATCCTTTAATATTAATAGCAGGAATTTTTGATACTGCACTTCCTGTCTTGTCAACTGACTTGTAATATATTAGAATGACTACCTGTGCAGCTTAAAATATACTGGGGAAACTACACAAAAAGCACAAAACAGAATCTCACAAATACAAGTTTTCAATGTGATCCATCCAGATCCAACTTTCTGTGGTAAGACATGTAGAAGCAGCACGTAAAGTCCAAAAGGGAGTACCTAGGAGCTGAAAGCAGCAATAGATATATAGATATATCTATACACTGAGTGGCCAGATTATTGTGACCACCCCATCAGTACTTTGTTGGGCCACCTTTTGCCTTCAATACTGCGGCAATTCTTCTTGGCATTGACTCCACGAGATGTTGAAAGGTGATGCGAGGAATTTGACACCATGCTTGATGAATAGCACTGTCCAGTTCTGTGAGATTTGATGGTTGTGGAACCAGCTGCCTGATGGCTCTTTCAACTTCGTCCCACAAATGCTCAATTGGATTGAGTTCTGGTGATTGTGGGGGCCACCTAAGCAATATAAAGTCTCCCTCATGTTCTTGAAACCACTCCTGCACAAAACGAGCACCGTGGCATGGCGCATTGTCTTGTTGAAAGAAGCCATCTCCATTGGGATATGCCATCAACATGATCGGATGACCTTGGTCAGCAACGATTCTTTGATATGTTGTGCTATTCAGACGTTGTTCCACACGATTTAAAGGGCCCAATTCATGCCAGGAAAACATGCCCCAAACCATAACACTGCCCCCACCAGCTTGAAGGGTTGTGCTCATGCATGTGGGGTGCATGCTTTCATGCTGTTCCCGCCAAATTCTCACTCTGCCATCTGCATGATGCAACTGGAAACGTGATTCATCGGACCACATGACTTTTTTCCAATGCTCGACTGTCCAATCCCTGTGTTGCTGTGCGAATTGGAGACGTTTTATCTCATTAACTGCAGACAGCAAAGGTGTTCGAACAGGCCTTCGGCTTCCATATCCCATACGATGCAGTGTACGGCGAACAGTGCGTTCAGAGATCATTTGAGTGGATCCCCGATTAAGATCCGCTGTAATTTGATGCACTGTTGTCTTGTACCAGTCTTGCCACTCTCCGTTCTGCCCTAACATTGACTAGTCGCTGACGGCCACAATTCGCACGTTCAGACCCAGATTTTCGGCTGACAGTCC